TTCCTCCCCAATTTAGTTTATATTTCTGAGACAACCACTGTATATCTATGTATCTACTAGAAAGAATGCAAATCAGAAATTTTTAAAAATTCCCAAGAGAAATATTTGTTTTTATATGTTGGATTACCCCATAGTAGTATACGCTTAGTATTTTTTTCTGCCTGAAAATTTCTCACCATCTTCGGAAAACATCCTTCAACCTCCCCTTCCTCCAGATCCACCCAACAGTCTCCATTCATGTGGCTTCCACAGGAGTAGCCATGGTCTTCTGTGAATATGAGCGTATACAGCTGTGGGATTAGGTTTTAGGAGTGAAATTGCTTCAAAGAGAGTATATGCATTTATGCCTTTTGATAGATACTGCCAAAGTCTTGCAGAGATACTGTAGCAGTTTGCACTCTTATCAGTTGTCATGAGAGTACCTGTTTTCCCAATAGGGTCACCAGCAAAATGTTGCCAGCTCCTTGTCCCAGGGATCACACACCCGTCTTAAGTTTAGCTAATATGTACTGGATGTGCGATGTGCGCTGTGCTAGGTACCAGGTTAAGTGCTGCCTATTTGCTAATACCTACTGCATCCTCACGATAACTCAGCGAGGGAAGTAGTAGTATCTTCACTTTACAGATGAGAAAACTGAGGTTTAGAGATGTTAGCCTACTTCAATGTGAAGAACTGAGCTGCATCCAAGCCTGGGAGGTCCAGCTCCAAACATTCATCCTCTTAACAAGTGGTTCTCAAGTTTGAATGTCCATCAGAATCATTCAGAAGGCTTGTTAAAAGTTGGCTGGGTCCCAGCTTGAGTTTCTGATTTGCTAAGTGTGAGATAAGCCTGAGAATGGGAATTTCTAAGGTCCCAGTGATGCTAATGCTCTGGTCCAGGGACCACACTTTGAGAACCGTTGCTCTTGTGACTCTAATATGAGGCCCCACCTGGGAATGATATTTGACCTTGGCTGGGAACTCTACATGTTCTACATACCTTGTATGTGTGTATGAAACGTGAATAGAACCTTTCACAGTCTTTTGAATTTCCCAGGTAAGGTTTGTGGCCAATGATTTCACTTCTTCAAGACTTTCCCCACCTTTTTAATGGAGATGATGTCCAGAGGAACCCTTGGGGGAATTATAAGAAAGACTGTATGCAAAGAACACTTTGAAGATCATGAAATGTTCTAAAGCTGGTTATAATTATTCCTGTTGATGGAGAAGCTATGAGAATTTGGAAGGTATAGAATAAGATCGTGGTTCCGGGCTGGGCGTGGTGGCTCATGCCTGTAATCTCAGCACTTTGGGAAGTTGAGGCAGGTGGATCATGAGGTAAGGAGACTGAGACCATCCTGGCCAACATGGTGAAACCCCATCTCTACTAAAAATACAGAAAATGAACTGGTGTGATGGCATGCGCCTATAGTCCCAGCTACTAGGGAGACTGAAGTAGGAGAGTCACTTGAACCCGGGAGGAGGTTGTAGTAAGCTGAGATTGCACCACTGCACACAAGCCTGGGCGATAAGAGCAAAACTCTGTCTCTAAATAAATAAATAAATAAATAAAGAAGATCATGGTTCTGCCATGGCTTGGCACTGGGCAAGTCAGTCCACTTCCCTGAGTATCAAATTCTTCTCTTTAAAAATGGGAATATTATGGGTTCCATGAGGATTAAACAAGCCCTATGTGTATCAGCCCTGGTTTCCTTATGTTCCAGAAACTTGGAGGCACCGTGCTCTGTGAGGAAAGGGCTCATTTCAGAACAACAGTTACAACGCGGTTGCTCACAGTCGTTTCCCCTCTAGCTCTCCTCAGAAAATCTTACTCCCTGTTCTTTCCACATGCTGGTGACGACCTCTTTGTAACATAACATGGCCCCTTTTCCACATTTGGGTAGCAGGTGCGGACACTTTGTAGATTCCTAGAAGTAGCCCAGGTTGAAAGCAATGACTGAATGGCCCCTGGGCTGGTGTCAATTGCTCTAGGTGCTGGGGATACGGCAGTGAACAAAACAGGAATCCAAATCCTTGCCTTCATAAGCTTGTTACTGTGCCCCCAAGTATGTCAACGATGACCCCTTCACCTTCCCGTGGTTTCTTGGAATCTGGTGAGGAGCAAATACTCAAATTCATAGAAAATCACAAGTTGCCCTCAAATTGACCCAGTGAAGCTCACTGACCCCTGGGAACACCAGGCATGTGGCTTTAGCCAGAACTTCGCACACTGTGACGTGTACCGGGATCACTGGGGCTCTTGGTATTGCCAGATCCTGGCTCAGCAGGTCTGGGTCTGGCTGAAGAATCTACATTTCTAACAAGCTTGGATATTTCTGGTCTGAGGACCACACTTTGATTATTTAAGGTTTAAGTGATGCCTTATTATCATCCCACCAAATGTAATCTTACTTTCCTGCAGCTTTTAGTAAAACTCTGAATACGCAGAAAAAAAAAACAAAAACAAAAACAAACCCTAATTTTATTAGTATATTCCAGTTGCCTACATTTTTGGACAAGGCTGTAGGTGTGGGTGTCAGATCTGGTTTTCAAGTGACCAGGAGCAGCATGGAACATGCACTTCACTAATGCAAGCCATTTTTTCATTTGTGAGTGGAGACTCTTCCGAATTCTGTCTCATTTATGTAAAACCTTAATTGTTTGACTTTTTTTTTTTTTTTTTTTTTTTTCCTGAGATGGAGCCTGGCTTTGTCATCAGGCTGGAGTGCAGTGGTGCAATCTTGGCTCACTGCAACCTCCTTCTCCCGGGTTCAAGTGATTCTCCTGCCTCAGCCTCCCGAGTAGCTGGGACTACAGGTGCATGCCACCACACCCGGCTAACTTTTGTATTTTTAGTAGAGATAGGGTTTCACTATGTTGCCCAGGATGGTCTCGATTTCTTGACCTTGCGTTCTGCCTCCTCAATCTCTCAACGTGTTGGGATTACAGGTGTAAGCCACCGTGCCCGGCCATTTGTTGCACATTTTGAAGGAATGAATTTAAAGTCTCCACTTGACCATTTTAATCTGATATTTTTAGATAAGTTGTGGGCTACCTCTGGCAAACTTGACAGGGTTCTGAAATCTTACCTTTAGCAATGATATACTGGCATTTCGAATGCACACCCACTGTCTCTAGAGCAAATATACAAGAGGCAACCATTCATTGAATGTTTACTAAGTGCCAGGCAATATGGCAACTGCTGTGCAGGGATTAGCTCATTTAATCTTTGTAACAACTCTATGATTCAACGATTTCTCCAAACAGTCAAAACAAAAAACACGAAACTGAAGGTCACAGAGAATGTCATTGGCCCAAATGCATATCCTTTATAAATGGGTGCAATGAAGATTGGACCTGGCTCTGTCTGAGTTCTAGACCCACACTCTTATTTAAATAATGTTAGTGACATCAGAGTTACAGTAGTAAAACAAATGTAGAAACATGGCCAAGGAAGTGAAAATGCTCAGTTCTGTAGTAAGTCTTTTATTAAGGCACTCCCCAGTCTTAGGTTAATTTAGACTATCTCTGTTAACTACGATAAATGCCAGTTCCAGGTTAGAATCAGATCAATAATATAAAAGCACTTTTATATCACTGTCATGTGCAGTGGTGTTGGCTATCAGGGTCTAAAGCTGAAATCCATCTCTCACACCCATAATTAATATTCCTGGAATCACACTGTTGCAGAGTTAGGGGAGTGGGGGTACCTCTATGTATATGAGGCTCAAAAAGGTGAAAGACTGGTAGCCCAAAATAGAAATATATTTCCTGTTAAAGGGGTAATACAAAAATAGCTTTTCATTAGGAGTTACTGATGGTACTGTAGGTATTAAGTTTGAATGAAAAGCACCATCAACTGTAACATACAAACTGCTTTATCCTTTATGTACAAATGAAAGAGAGAATTTGTTTTCATTCTGAGTTTATTTAACATTTCATCCAGTTGAACTGAAATAATACATGGCCTCCAATGCTGGCAAGACACTGTGCTAATACTGAAATACAAACTGCCAGTCAGTAAACACTTACAATCATAATCCTTTATATGTTAATAGAAATATTAATAACTACTTAGCTTTATTGCATTTCATGTGGATTTTTTCCTCCAGAAAAGGTATTTCCACAAGACTGGCAATGTTTGCCAATCTTGGTTTATTTGTTCTTTGTTATAAACCATGATCAACATATACAGTTGACAGCTTTATATAAAAGCATTAAGAGTCTGAAGCATCAAAAAACAATGTTTAAAAAGACGCAACTCCATGTCCACCATCCCTTTTATTTTAAAACCTTTTTTTTTTTTTTGAGACAGAGTTTCACTCGTCACCCAGGCTGGTGTGCAATGGCGCGATCTCGGCTCACTGCAACCTCTGCCTCCCGGGTTCAAGCAATTCTCCTGCCTCAGTCTCCTGAGTAGCTAAGATTACAGGCATGCACCACCATGGTTGGCTAATTTTTTGTATTTTTAGTAGAGATGGGGTTTCTCCATGTTGGTGAGGCTGGTCTCAAACTCCCGACCTCAGGTGATTCACCTGCCTCAGCCTCCCAAAGTGCTGGAATTACAGGCGTGAGCCACCAAGCCCGGCCATCCCTTTTATAACCTTTAACACACATAACTGGAGTGTGTAAAAGTTTGGTTAGTTTATCAGTCATTAGCTCTTCGCTGGAGGTTAATGTTCTGAAATGGAGCTACAGATCACCAGGCAGGGGGGACTCTGAGAGGAGAGGGACAGCCGGGCAGGCAGCAGGTGCCTTAGCTTCTTATGAAAAGAGCCCCTTCAACCTCTCATGGAGATCTGCCCTGAATTTCAGGCTTTTACCACTTTTTAAAGAGACGCGTCAAGGACAACAGAATCTGTCCAAGGCCAGAATGTCACAGGGAAGCCATTTTGCTTTAAATGGTTTAAGACAGAAAATCTAAATGAGAAGATTCTGGCAGGATCGAGGAAGGCTCCGAGTGGCCCAAAGCTTCAGATCTATTAATCCTTTCAGAGAAAAGAGAAACACAAGACACAAGGCACGCCATTTTTTCTTTATGAGGAAATTCAATTCTGGTCACATTGTCAGAAAAAAAATCTGTCAAAACTAAATAGTTTTTATATTTTTTTCACTTACAATCTCTGAATACAATGATCTACGCTTCATCACTTCAAGAAATGTCGCCCCTCAGTATCCGTGGGTGAGTCGTTCCAGGACCGCTCTCCGATACTAATATCTGCGGATGCTCAAGTTCCTGATATGAAATGGTGCAGTATTTGCATATAACCTAGGCACATCCTCCTGTATACTTTAAATCATCTCTAGATTACTTGTAACACTTAATACAATGTCAGCACTATGTCAATAGTTGTTATACTGTACTGGTTTTTAAATTTGTATTATTTTTCATTGTTATATATATTTTGTACCTTTTTAAAAAAGATTTTCCATCCAAACTTGGTTGAATTCACAGAGGTGCAGCTCACGGATACAGAGGGTTGACCGTATATGACGTTAAACACCTACAGACTTGAAACATAATCTGCTCTATGAAATATATTATCTGTGGAATCACTACAAATGATGTAAACAGTGGTACATGGTTTCATTATTTTTAAATGAGGTGGAATGTAACATACAATATTCAAGTAAAATTCACCGTGACTGATTCATACACATTATCACTGTATCTTTCTGAAAGTCGAAGAGATCTATAAGAATGAGAAGAAAAGACAGGTAGGTAGCTGGAACTGTGGTCTCACTTCTTATAGGAAAAAAAACAACAAACTACATTCAGCCCACTCATACAGCATTGGTATTGAATATACTTCCAAAACTTGACATTTGTACATTTCAGTCATATGATGTAAATAGCTGAATACAAAGTCAGTAACTGCAAGGTAAGATTAATATCTGTATAAGAATATAAAACAATAAATTAAAGTCTACCAAGGAAATCTACTCACAATCTGAATGTATGTAATTATCCAGCAGGGGAGGCATGTTGCACTGGTCCGTAACTGACTTTTGGAAGGGGTGTGAAGGAGCTTTTGCCCTACAAATCCAAACACTTCATCATCGACATTGGGCCAGCACAGTCGCCAAACTAGAAGCAAACTGCCTTTAATATTTCAGGGCCAGTTTTTACAGGTTAGCCCAGAGCTTTTGTGTTTTCCCAGTTCACTGCTGAGATCTCGCGTTGACTTGCAATGGAAGTGAGATGAAAATTCAGTATTTTAAACAGATTCTGTTTTCACTGATTGATAATCACCAGAACATTTACTGACCATATACTGAGCACCTATTCCATGTCTACCAGTGCTTTTTTAAAACCCTGGGAGAGGGCTGGGATATTGTCTTTGAAAAACAATGACTATAAAAGCTATAGGAAGGTATTTCTATAAATCTTAACATGATTCAATGTAAGAGAGTCAAGAGGTGTCAGACGCTTGGCCCACACCAAGTGCTCTGTTAAAGTAGCAGCTTTATTCTAAAAGGCTAAAGTGGGTCTTTGAAAGGTTTTTGTAACTGGGAGAACCCGGGTTGAACAGGATTTTTCTCACCAGCATGGCTACACCAGCTTTGCAATGGCAGAGTGAGCTGCAGACATGTCCTTCCCTCCTTTACAGTCCCTTATTAAAGTACACACGCCGCAATTCAGGATGGCTTTCTTGGATCTTAGCTTGCAACTCGGCCTCCAAGCTTGTCACAGACATGGAACTGGGATAAGGGAGAAATGATAGGTTATTACATAGGCAGAGGTGAGAATCAGAACCCAGAAAGAGCAGGAAGAAGGCACAGGTGTGGAGAGCCCAAGACTGGTATAGCGGGTCTTGTTCCAGGAATGCTTCATGCGGCTGGAAAATGAGATCATGTTCCTTTCGGAAAACTGTCACTCGTCATGAAAGAAACGCATCTTAAGAACCCAACACCCAACCCTTTTTACCTCTCATATTTTTAAAAGCTGAAATCTCTTATTGCTGGCAAGAGTGTATGGTGATGACATTCTGAGACTCTGCTGGTGTTAGGAAAACCATTTGTGGCCATGCCACTTCCCAAGAAAAACAGTATCCATCATTTGCAATGCCCACCATTGATAAAAAAGGGATGAATCAGTGAAATGGATAACATAAAAGTTTGCCTGCATTAACGTGCTTTTGTTTACTGTATAATACATGCTTATTAAAAAACTTTTAGAAAATACTAAAATGTACAAAACAAAAGGAAACATTTATAGTCCCACTGAGAGATAACTATTGTTAGTCTTTAAGTACTTAAAAATGTATTTGAAGGTATTATGGGTTTATATATATTAAAGCTTATTCTTTAAGAGAAATGCATACACATTAAATAAAAGCATAAAGAGAAACTGTCCAGAATACCCACTACCAGAAAAACTGCTAATATTTTGATATGTAATTAATTTTAAGAAAATTATTCGGGGCTGGGTGCAGCGGCTCACACCTGTCATCTCCGAGCTTTGTGTGGCTGAAGCAGGAGGATTTCCTGAAGCCAGGAGTTTGAGACCAGCTTGGGCAACATAGTGAGACCCAAATTTTTTCTCTATAAAATAAAAAATAAGACAGGTATGGTGGTGTATGCCTGTGGCCCCTGCTACTCGGGAGGCTGAGGCAGGAGGACTGCTCGAGCCCAGGAGTTCAAGGCTGTAGTGAGCTATGACTGTGCCACTGCACTCCAGCCTGAGCAACAGAGTGAGATCCTGTCTCTAAAAAATGATTAAAATATTGGTATTTAATATAGCTGACATGTGATAGACTGTAAGATTAAAAAAGTCAGAATATAAGTTTATATTAAAAATGTGCAAAGCAAATTTAAAAAATTACAAATATAGAAAAAGGGTAGGAAAAGCATCCCACAGTGACTATTTTTTATGTAGTGGGCCTTTTGGTAATTTTAAATGATGATGATGAGATTAATGATGGCAATGATAATGGCTATGACTTACTGCTTATTTTCTGGGCCAGACATGATGCATTTCAATCTTTATGAAAACTCTCAAACCTGAGGTACAACTGAGGTGTTGAAGTCAGACCTTTCTTGATCCAAAAGCTCTGCTATGCTGTCTCTTGGTCCTTCTGTTTTGCCATTGACCTCTAAGTATCTGTAATTACTATTAACGTACGTTAAAGGTCCAAGTCTGATGTTGAAATTAAAGTTATTCAAACTTTAGTGGATGATGGGGAGTATTCTCTTTTTTATCTTCTAGGAGAGTTTATTTGAAATTGTAATCCATTCATTGTTACTGTTTCTTGACAGTTGGGAAAAACTCACCTGTAAAACTACCTGGTTCTTGTGTTTGCTTTGTAGGAGGAAGATTAAATGCTGCTTCAGCGTCTGTAATGACTGTCTTGCCTATTCTTTCTAATATTTCAGCTTTACCAATATTTTTTTTCCAGAAATTTGTCTGTCTGTTTTCAAATCTATTGACATAATGTTGATAATATGATTTTTAATCACTGCTGAATCTATAGTTACATCACTTTTTCATTCATATTATTTGTGCCTTTCTTTCTTTCTTTCTTTTCTTTCTTTTTTTTTTTTTTTTTAGGTAGAGTCTTTCTTTGTTGGCAGGCTGGAGTGCAGTGGCACAATCTTGACTCATTGCAATCTCTGCCTCCCGGGTTCAGGTGATTCTCCAGACTCAGCCTCCCGAGTAGCTGGGATTACAGGTGCGTGCCACCACACCCAGCTCATTTTCGCATTTTTAGCAGAGATGGGGTTTCACCATGTTGGCCAGGATGCTCTGGATCTCTTGACCTTGTGATCCGCCTGCTTTGGCTTCCCAAAGTGCTCGGATTAACAGGTGTGAGCCACCGCACCCGGCTTTTCTTTTTGTTTTAATTAATCTCACCAGACAATTGTCTGTTTCTATTTCAAAGAGCCAAGTTTTCACTTTGTTGATCCTCTACTCTTTCTATTTATTTTATTCATTTCTGATCTTATCTCCTTCCTTCCTTCTTTTCTGATGTTTATCCTTTTGTGCTTTTTTTTAAAACTTAAGTTGGACATTTAGCATATTGATTTTCAGCTATTTTTCATAATATAAACGTTTAAAGCTATAACTGTCTCTCAAATCAACACACTTGCTACTTCTCAAAAATGTTACTAAAGTATGTTTTCATCATCACTTGCTCACATAGCAGATGGGCAACTGTGGTGCATTCATAAAATGCACTATCATACAACAGTAACAATGAATGGATTACAGGTGCATGCACTCATGTGGATGAATCTTAGTTCTGATACTGAATAAAACGAATAAGTACTAGAAGACTATATATCTTATGACATGGTGACACGCTTGTCTAAAATGTTCCAAAGAAGACAAACCAAATACATACACACATATATAAAATGAAGAGCATGAAATTCAGCATAATGGTTAAATCTACAGGGGAGGCAGGGACACAGGTTGGGAGGAGCCTATAAGCTGTAACTTATTGGTCATATATATATATATATACATACATACATATACATATATAATTTTTGTTTTTCTGTTTTTATTTTTCTTTGAGACAGTCTTGCTCTGTTGCCCAGTATAGAGTGCAGTGGTGCGATCTCGGCTCACCACAACCTCCACCTCCTGGATTCAAGTGATTCTCCTGCCTCACTGGGCACTGAATTCATGGATATTCATTACATTATTAGTACAAATAAAATAAAAATAAGCAAAACAGGGTCATGCTTGGATCAATGAGGATAGTGTGTTATGAGCCAAGGAATTTTTTTTTTTTTTCTTTTTTTTTTAATTGCATTTTAGGTTTTGGGGTACATGTGATGAACATGCAAGATTGTTGCATAGGTACACACATGGCAGTGTGCTTTGCTGCCTTCCGTCCCCTCACCTGTATCTGTCATTTCTCCCCATGCTATCTCTTCCCACCTCCCCACCCCCCGCCCCTCCCCCATTTCCCCCCAACAGACCCCAGTGTGTAGTGCTCCCCTCCCTGTGTCCATGTGTTCTCATTGTTCAACACCCGCCTATGAGCGAGAATATACGGTGTTTGATTTTCTGCTCTTGTGTCAGTTTGCTGAGAATGATGGTTTCCAGGTTCATCCATGTCCTATAAAGGACGTGAACTCATCGTTTTTGATGGCTGCATAATATTGCCAAGGAATATTATTAATCCTACTCTACGAAATCGAGGAGCAAGAGACCTGAAGAAGCCAGACATATAAACAGTGTATAAACAGCAAAACAGCTATTTTAAAATAGAGTAAAACAAGATCATTGGTTTCCCAAAGGTAAAACCACACACTTTCTGAGGGCCTTGACTTAAGGACACTAATAGTTACAGAAAGCTTTTCTTTTCTACACCTAGAGTTTAAATGAATCATAAAAAATAAATGTTAGACTATATATTTTTCTTGCAGCACTACAACAAAATCAAGGCCAAAGTAGAAAGTTTCTCGGTGGGTTTTCAAATCTAAAATCCTTTAATCTGAAAATAATTACAGCTACATTTCTTATGAGTTTTCTTGGTATCAGGCATGCCCCTCGGCATTTTATGTGCTCGGTGTCTAAATCGCTGAGTCAAGGTCAGCTGCTGACCGCCAGTATTCATAAGCCACATACTAGAGAAATGAACATTTTCAGGGTGAGCCCTGAGACTCTGGGGCTTGTACAATTAAACAGGTTATCATTATTCCACTTTAGAGATGAGGAAATTCATCTGAATCAGGCTGCCAGGGCAAGTTCTGAAGGTCCTGCCCTCTTTGAGGGGGACTCCTCAGTAGGCCCCAAGGTAATGAAGAACTCCTGTCCGTGAGATTTAAATTTCTATTAAAGAACAGCACGGTCAGAGATAGAGTGGAAAAGTAGATACGAGGTGGAGTTCTGTGTCAGGCAGAGGGATCTGACAGCATTAGCTCTAGAACACCTCATCCAAAACCTACTCCGCAAGGCTAGGGGATTAAAGATCACATGTTTGGGACGTACTGGCCCACAAAGGAAAGGCTATTACCAAGGCAAGGGGCCTGGTAACACTTACAGAAAACAAAAGACAACAAAATGCCACTGCTTGTGTGTTGGCATCACACCAAGAGCAGGCTAGAGAACTAGACGTAGAAAATGCCGATTTAATGCCAGTTAGTCCTGTTCTCACATCAAAGGCAGGATTCGAGGGCAGCTTATGATGAAAGGCATGCACAAGAAAGCTTTTAAGGCAAAAAATTAAGTGGGAAGAAGGCAAGCAAATATATCAACCACCTAAGCTAAGGGCATACAATTGCTCTCCCTGGAGGTGGAATTTACAACCTATCATATCTGTATTACAGATGCATTTGCCAGTGGATTGGATCATATTTTAAATTTTCATAAAAGCAAATTTGTACCAGAATTAGTCTGATTCTTACAGAAGAATCAAGCATTTTCAGATTTAATGGAACGGGGTAGAAAAGAACAGGGTACATCTGAAATTAGACAGATGTGGGTTTGATTTCTGCCTCTATCCCTTCCTTTTAGAGACACTGGCTTCAGTATCTTTTGACTCTCAACTTTCCTGCTAGTGAAATGGAATAATGGCACCTGCGCCTTCAACTGGTTTTCAGGATTAAAACTCATGATTATTCTGAATAACAAATACATACCTTTTCTGAGGAAACAGGGCACAACACAGGGGTGTAGCAAACACCAAACTTAAAAAAAAATACAAAAAAAAAGTCAGACCATTTTAAACTGTCAGCTTTTCAGATTATTTTTCTATTTTACTTTTATAAGAATCCCTTCTTTCCTCAGAGTATTATGTTTTGTGTTGTCTAACAAAAATATGTCCTGTTGGTGTAAGTTTTATTACCTAGGATTGCCAAAATAATGAAAAAAAAAAAGTCACAGAGATAATTTAAAAAAGAATCACACAGGCCGGGCACGGTGGCTCACGCCTGTAATCCCAGCACTTTGGGAGGCCGAGGCGGGTGGATCATGAGGTCAAGAGATCGAGACCATCTGGGTCAACATGGTGAAAACCCGTCTCTACTAAAAATACAAAAAATTAGCTGGGCATGGTGGTACGTGCCTGTAATATCAGCTACTCGGGAGGCTGAGGCAGGAGAATTGCCTCAACCCAGGAGGCGGAGGTTGTGGTGAACCCAGATCGCGCCATTGCACTCCAGCCTGGGTAACAAGAGGGAAACTCCGTCTCAAAAAAAAAAAAAAAAAAAAAAAAAAAGAATCACACAAATAGCCGCCCATGTTGTAGGTTTCTCTAAAGACAGTTAACTTCTATTTAATTATTTGGGGCCATATATTCCAGATGTTCTGAGATGGCCTCAGTTTCAAAATTTGTATCCTATATTACCCACTCACTTTTCATACACTGTGTATTTATATTTTTAAAAGAAATTAATTATGTAAAAAGTAATTCCTACTCACCAGAAGCCAACTAACCCAACTTGAATGGGTGCGCTCATCCATGGGAACCTCTGTGTTGAGAAATAAAAGACTTTGAATGCTTTTTATACAGAGTCTTAGAGACAATTTCTTCTGATTAACTGTAAGGAACCTTATCACATTACAAAATTCAGATAGAATGTGGCGAAATTTGGGGGAAACGCTGCAACAAGGGTGTTATTCGAACTTCCTGTAGCCTTCTTTGATCTGTAAATCAACACACATGCAAAGATCAAGTGGCTTCTATTTCTTCCCCTATTTCACATTTAATCTGAGCACTGCTTGGGTATGTACTGGAGGTGGGGAAATAGCTGTCAATTAATTGTGATGTATCCCCTGGCTGGGGAGGTAGGATAGCCTGGTGCCAAGGTCTGAAGACAAATGAACCTGAACTCAAGTCTGCCCTCCTGCTTAGTTCCTGATTGTGGGGAAGCGCAGACAGAGCCTAGCCTCTCCAAGCTTCCGTTCCCTTGTTATGGTGCAAAATGAACATCATTAACAGCTTCCTAAAAGTGTGTGGATGAAGATATGCCAGATCACATTCATAAAGCACCTAGTATGGTGCCTGGAACATATCAGAAACCCAACAAATGCTTACCATCTCTCACCCCACTTTGCACCTCGTCTTTCTTGGTTTTAGTTGCTGTCAGTGTGGTTAAAACTATTTCTGGCATAAAACATTTTTGCTAGTCACACTTTTTTTTTTTTTAATGGAAATGAACAAGTTGGTTGGTCTTTTGGAGAATAAATGCTGTTAGATTTTTAGTTTTAAAAAAGGAGTGGTACTTAAATACACAATATAAAGAGTGATGAGATATATGGTTACATAAGGCCACACAAATCACTCCTACCAAGGTGTGAGCTGGTTGTAATAAAATCAGCCAGCTTAGTTAAGAGTCAACACAAGCTGTTAGAAGACAATGTGCATGGGAGGCGTACCGTGGGCCCCAAAGAGACTCTTCTGGAGAAAAGGTTCATCAGGAGGATCAGCGTTAAGGGTGGAAAGCGATGGAATAGAGAGGAAGGGAGAAGCATCATCAAGGAAACTGATTCTCATAGGATACACAGAGGGGCCCCTCCCCACAAAAGATAGGATGAAAGGAAATCACTGTATCTTGGGTAATTGTCTTTGTTTGATGACAAAGGATTATCATAAGGAGATGCTAAAGACTCCCGTGGTACTTCCTAGCCAGGTGACATCTGGGCCGGGCAGACTTGGTGATGAGAAGGCAAGTGAAGTACTGAGCAAGAGCTGGTGCGTGGATAAACCTGACCCTGTCAGAGCAGCCTCATTTAAAATTTTCTTTTTATTTTTTGAGATGGAGTCCACTATGTCACTCAGACTGGAGTGCAGTGGCACAATCTCAGCTCACTGCAACCTCTGCCTCCCAGGTTCAAACGATTCTCCTACCTCAGCCTCCCAAGTAGCTGGGATTACAGGTGCCCACCACCATGCCCAGCTAATTTTCAATATTTTTAGTAGAAATGAGGTTTCACCATGTTGGCCAGGCTGGTCTCAAATTCCTGACACAGGTGATCCACCCGCCTCAGCCTCCCGAAGTGCTGGGATTATAGGTGTGAGACACCGCACCCAGCCAACAGCCTGCTCATTTCAAATGGACTCTGGGCTGCAGAAAACTGGGCCAAACTGGTATCCAAAAGTGAGCAGCTGTGTGCCACCTTGGAGGTGGGCATGTGCAAACTACGTACTGACTGTGGCTCATGCAGAGGGTTTGGATGGAAAGGCTCCTCGCACAGACAGGCTCCTAGACAGTTTTAGTATCCGGCAAAAAGCAGCCTGATGTTCTCTCTTCTTCCAGCTCCTACCCCAGCACCCCAACCTGCCTTATTCATCCCTATCTCTCAGTTAAAAAGTCTGATACATTAGTCAGCTAAGGATGTTTGGTGTTCCACTAGATATTTGCAAAATTTCTTGTGGTAGGGCCATATCTTACCTAACAGAATTATGCAAGCAGAGGATGTTTAGATGAAAAGTCCAAATGAATTAAAGAGATTAATTATATGTTTAAAAGATATATATATATCTTTAAAAGTCATATATAATATATAAATATGAATATATATTCATATATAGATGAATATACATAAAAATGTATTCAATGAAGAGCTCAAAAGTTAATTACTCTAAATTATTTCTCCCCCAATTATGTTTTTCTAATAGCTTTACTTTATTTTTTATTTTATTTATTTTTTTTGAGACGGAGTCTTGCTCTATCACCCAGGCTAGAGTACCATGGTGGGATCTTGGCTCACTGCAACTTCCGCCTCCTGGGTTCAAATGATTCTCCTGCTTCAGCCTCCTGAATAGCTGGGACTATAGGAGCCTGCCACCACACCCAGATAATTTTTGTATTTTTATAGAGACAGGGTTTCACCATGTTGGTCAGCCTGATCTTGAACTCCTGACCTCGTGATCAGCCCGCCTCAGCCTCCTAAAGTGCTGGGATTACAGGCGTGAGCCACCATGCCTGGCCTCTAATAGCTTTATTGACATACACATTAAATGACACACATTTACTTAATGCACATATAAGTTCTCTATACACATTAAATTATAAATGTGTATATACATGTGTAATTATAATACATAGTGGGCAAGTGAATGAAATTATAAATGTGTATATACAAATTATAATGTGCATAAGTTATATATACACATTAAATGATACACATTTATTTAATGCACATATTGAATGTGTATAAGTTCTGACATATGTATGTAGCTGTGAAGCCATCACCACAATCAAAATAATGAAAATATTCACCACCCTGGATGGTCTCTTTGTTCCTTGTAGCCCTTTCAGTTCCTCCCTTTTCTGTAAACCCTGCACCCCATTAAATGGCCACCTCTCGTCTTTCTGTCACTATATATCAGTTTCCATTTTCTCGGATTCGATATACAGTATCTATTCTTTTATGTAATTACTTTGAGACTCATTCGTGTTGTATGCAGCCCTAGTTGGTTCCTTTTTATTGCGGAGTTAAGATTCCCTTGTATGGATATTCACAAGGTGTTTATCCATTTTCCTGTTGTTGAGCATTTGAGTTGTTTCTAGTTTTGGGGTATTACAAATAAAGCGGCTATAAACATGGGTCCTTTACGAACATGTGCTTCTGTTTTTCCTAGGTAAATAACTAGCAAGGAAATGGCTGGATCATAGGGCAGCATATGTTTAACTTTGTAAGAAACTAGCTAACTGTTTTCTCACGTGACTGTACCACATCGATTCTTACCAGCAGTGATGAGGGCTTCAGTTCCTCTGTTTCCTCACCAACATTTGCTATGGTCAATCTTTTTAGTTTTTGACATTCTAATAGGTGTTTAGTGGCAGCTCATGTAGTTTTAATTTAGATTTCCCAATGACTAAAGATACTGAGAATTGTTTAGGTACTTATTTGATATCTGTATGTATTTGGTACAGTGTCTGTTCAAACCTTTTGCCCAGCTTAAGTACTATGGGTCCTTCATGTATTCCGGACACAAGTCCTTTATCACATACATGCCTTGTAAACAGTTTTTCCCATGCTGTTTCTTCTCTTCATTTTCTGTATAGTGTTGAAGAACAGAATTTTAAAATTCTGACAAAGTCTAATTTATCAATTTTTCTTTTATGGACTGTGCTTTCCATGTTGAGTCTAATAAGTCTTTGCCTAGCCCTAGTGTTCTATTGTACTTTCTTCTGGAAGTTTACAGTTGTAGACTTTTACATTTAGATTCGATGAACCACTGAGAGCTAATTTTTATATATAGTGTAGTCAGTTTCTTACACATTGCTTATATCCTAGCCAACCTAACCATCCATAAATCTCCAACAGTTCATGCTCTGTGTACTTGCTCAGCTTCTGTAGAGCATGTGGCTCTTGGCCAGTCCTCTTCAAAGAAGTCCTGGCTCAACTACACTCGTTGGGTAAGATACCTCCTGTGTGTTCCCTCTGTGTCCCAAACTTCAAACACTGTGCATTTTAACAATTTGTCTTGTCCCTCTTCCCCATATCATGCTCCATGCTCCCTGAGAGCAGGGGTCATATCCTTTTTCTGGGACTCTAGCGTCTACCACACTGGTTGGCATAAACAAGATTTCAGCAAAGGGCTGCTGAAAACACATGAATGAACAAGTAAATGCTAAATTCCCATTCAATTACCAGTTCTGAACGCCTACTGAGTAGATGCCGCAGTCCACTTTTACAAAAGGGGATACGAAAGAATTAGAACTTAAGGAGTAAGAACTAGACGGGCTCCAAACCATATCAATTTCACTCCCAATGAAAGTGCCATCAAGAATGACCCAAGTTTAAAGAGATAACAGGAACTATTCTTCAAGAAAACTGTTCAAGCACTAGATTTTAGGCAGTGAACTTTCTGATTCACTGCAAAAATTTCCGTGAGTCACCTGCCCACAGCTGATGCTGTTTTTTCCAGCTCTCCACTTGGGGAGAGATAAGGCGTGGGGGGATGGATGAGTCATGCCGAATGCTCCCCAAACATCACCGCTTAAAAAAAGCTCAGAATGTTCAATTAGTTTCATGTTTGCGGAGGAGTCTGGTCATTTCTAAGGTAAGAGCCCAGATAAGCACATCCTTGCAGAGGAGGCACACCTGGCCCTGGAGCAGTGGGAACAAGGGGACGGCCAACCATGGCGAACACCACCACATGGGCATGGCGAGCTGCCAAGAAAGTGACCTCTTCTGCCTTTGTAGAAGGGGCAAGGTCAAGCCCGCCTTCACAATAGAATGCGAAAGTGTTTGGAACATGGAAAAGTAAGGATTTTAATGTACGCTGCCTCTGTGTATATTTTAGCAATGACTACCCTATCATTTCCGTCCTATGGTCCTCTACACATGGGTGAAAGGCAACAAAGACCAGCAACCGTGAACTTGGAAATGGTAGGTATGTATGGGTACCTTAACAGTGTTTAGCCATTACATTTTCAGAGCAGTATCTTTCATTGAGGTCTGAAGGCGTACAGCTACAACTGAGCCCCCTAGTAGCCAGTGAGGTGCCGGGGCTGAGCCATGAGCTGTCCTGATCATCAATCTGGGCCTTGCACACAGGGGTTCTGAAACCAGTGGGCCCTTGCATGTGGGGAGTGGGGTAGGTAGAGGGCTTCTGTGGGAAGAGAAGGCGAGGTGGTACACTTCCAAATGACAATCAAAGGGTACAGTATCAAGCAAAGCTAAAAACACACAAATTAAGATGAAAGTGGGGAGAACACAATAGTTATTCATCTTATCATTGTGTAACAGCCTGGAACAATGCAGCAATGGTGGGCTAAGATGGGGCTAACTGCTTTTATCATTTGCCAGCTCCTTCGCATGAGAAAATGCCAGGGTATATCTACAGAAATCTCCATCTGTCACAGCAAGAAACTTATGCAACATGCCCAACTGTGTCTTCTGTTCAGTGTCTGTCACTGAGGGATGAGAGGAACCGTGGTAACTGTTCCCAAACTGAGACCCCATGAAGCTGCTACTCCAAATTACCTTTTCATTCCTGAGAGGATGACTACTGACTTGTACACGTATCGTTCCAAATTCACATCATCTCTTCATTTTACCCAGCCGGGCATCCGATACATCACTGTGTGTATAACTGATTTATAACCTTTCAATAGAAGCAGTCTTTATTTGCAAAAAGCTTTTTCAAATATCTGAGATTAGAAATAAAATGTTCCTGAGAACATCTTTTCATTTACATAAGTGCCCAGGAGAAACTGACCTTCAATTGCTTTACTGTTTAAGGTTGGAAATAACCTGTAAAGTTTGAAAACTGAAAAGAAATAAAAAGGGTTTAGAAAACGACAAAAGAACCACAGCTTACCTTCAAAAAGGCTTTCTTTTCCAAAGTGTTCATGATGAATGGAGGGATGGCTGGAAATAAAGACAGAGTCACTTAAGTCTTTATTTAATGTCAATTTTCAGCTTAAAATTGTTTTTTCAACCGTTTGACTGCTTCTGTCACTTTTAGGGTATTTCCACATGGTCACAGTAAAAACAATTTATAGTAATTCTTTGAATTATTACATTTGAATTCATTAAATTAAAAACTGTTCTCATTTTCAAAATTTTTGAAAAGTAATATTGCATCCTCTGCCAGTCAGAAAAATTTCATAATCTTGAAAGGAAGTTTAAGTTTCAATAGGCAAAAATAAAAATAAAATAAAGTGCACAAGGCAGGGAGGATGGTGTAAAGAATCCTGCCTGGGGTCAGACAGAAACTGCTTCAGTACAGGCTAGACCAGGGGTCCCCAACCCTTGGGCTGGCCAGGGACTGGTACGAGTCCATAGCCTATTAGGAACTGGGCTGCACAGCAAGAGGTGAGCAGCGGGCAGGTGAGTGAAGCTTTATCTCTATTTACAGCTGCTCCCCATTGCTCGCATTATGCCTGAGCTCTGCCTCCTGTCAGATCAGCGACTGCATTACATTCTCACAGGGCCCCTGACCCCATTGTGAACTGCACAAGCAAGGGATCTAAGTTGTGCCCTCTGTATGAGACTCTAGTGGCTGATGATCTGTCACTGTCTCCCATCACCCCCAGATGGGACCGTCTAGCTACAGGAGAACAAACTCAGGGCTCCCACTGACACTACATGATGGTGAGCTGTATAATTACTTCATTATCTATTACAATGTAATAACAGAACTAAAGTATACAATAAATTTAATGTGCTTGAATCATCTCGAAACCATCCCCCTGACCCCTGGTCCATGGAAAAATTGTCTTCCATGAAATGGGTCCCCGGTGCCAAAAAGATTTGGGATTACTGGGCTAGATCACTTGCTAGCTGTGTGACCCTGGAAAAGTTACCTCACTTCTCTGAGCCTCAGTTTTCTGTTTTCTTCTTCTAGGGAAATTGTATTCAACTGATCCTGATGATTAGATACAATAATGCATGTAAAACTTTGGGTGTGTGGTATGCAGCATTCATTTATTTTCTCACAACTTTTATCAGACTAAACTGTCATATCCACTACTTCAATGTGTCAATTACTCTTATACATTTCACTAGGGCAGAAAGATTATATTTCATCTCTGGAGACTAAATAGTGTTTGAAATCACTAGGAATGGATGTGGCGGGCTGGGCTTGCTGAACTCTTAAGAGGAGTAAGGGAATTCAAAACAAAAAAGACCACAATCAAATGCAAACCCAGGGCTGGACACGGTGGCTCACAACTGTAAACCCAGCATTTTGTGAGGCCGAGGTGGGCGGATCATTTGATCCCAGGAGTTCTAAGCCAGTTGGGCAACATGCCAAAACCTTGTTTCTATAAAAAATATATAAATTAGCTGGGTGTGGTGGCGTGTGCCTGTAGTCACAGTTAAGGCTGCAGTAAGCCATGATCACAGCACTGCACTCCAGCCTGGGGGGACAGCGAAATACCCTGTCTCAACAACAATAACAACAACAAAACAGATCCAGGGCAGAAGCTGGAGCTGCAACCTTGATTTCAGCAAATCTGGAAATCAGGGCTCAGTAGGCATGCCGGAGTGGCCTCCATCACCTCCTCTTAGGTTAGTGACAAACGTGCTGGTCCTGGACTCAGGGGATGCTTTGCCCAGGTTTCAGGACTGTGGCTGGGCTGCCATACCTACAGAACACACTAGCCTCAGCCAGGGCACCAGGGCACTCCTGTATTAAATCAGATAATAGCAGTTTCCCCCCAATTTGCTGGAATGTGAATATAATGTTCCTCAAAGTTTTCCTTCATGCACTTTTCTTCAGCTTTTGTTGCCTGCTCTTCCTTGCCTGCTAATGAGTAGTTGCAGTGACAAAAGGAATTTAAAAACTGCAAAATAGCATTAATGGATAACCTGACAGCAGCTGACGAAGCATACTTCATTGGAGAACTTCATTTTAATTGCCAAGTGCTGTTTGCATTCAGTTTAGATGATGAACATGAAACACACTAATTTGTTTCTTTCTGTGAAGAGCACTTTGACTCCCAGGCCCTCTGATTTTTCAGTCTGATAACTTTCTTCAGGCCCCTGGTCTGAAGGTAGCTCTAAGCAGCCTTAGGGTGGACTAGATTCTCAGCATAACTAAACACAATGTAGACTTTCTACTTTTGGTCATGCTGACCCCAGTCCCCATAGGGGAAACTGAGTAGTGGCTTGGCACACGTTTTATCAATACCGGCTCCAACCATTCCAATCTGCTTCAGGTTCCAAGGATTTCCCACTGATACAAATAAATCTTCAGTAGAAATTACTTCTACCCAAGGACTTTTGGAAGTTTCATTTCGAGGTTTATAAAGATCGATTCCTTCTGGTCAAACTGTCACTGTCTGGCCCTGGTCCAGCCCGTCACTGGCTCTTGCCTGGATTACCGAGACAGCCTCCTAAACAGCCTCCATTCAACATTTCCGTTCCCCTTCAGCCTATTATTCTCAACCCAGCACCCAGCGTCACACACACACAAAACCTAAATCAGACTGTGATTCAAAATCCTGCCTGGTTTCTGATCTCTCAGACTAAAAGCCAAGGGTGAAACGCTGGGGCTGCCATCCACCCTTTGCCTTCTGTGGCCTCCTGACTCGCTTCCTACTGCTCCCCAGCCCTCCCACTGTGCCCCAGCTGCACCTGTGATGCCTCCAACACACCCGGCAAACTCCTGCCTGTGTAGCTCCCTCTGCCAGAGTACTCATCCCTGATACCTGCTTGGCTCACCCCCACATCTCCACCCAGTGCTATTCCCCGGCTGCCCTACCTCCACCCCTACACGCCCTTACCCACCTTGCCCCCTTAGCCCTCACCACCTCTGCATACACTATGTACTTTATTTACTTGTTTATTTTATGCCACCCCCACTGGAAGGCAATTTCCACTAAGAGGTGCAATATTTGTGTTTGTTTTCTGGTTCACGGATCTGTGAAGACTTGTTCAACCTGTATCTATGGAATACATGACGGAGTCCTGCTAACCCATGCCAGGGGCTGCCATGAGAATCCTGGACACGACGACTTGCGTGATGGCTTGTTTCGCAGCGTTTGCCGACTCCCCCAAGCGGTGCCCATTCTCATCCATGATGGGAATGCCAACTTTGAGTTCCCTGCAGAGCAAAACACATGCAGAGAGCTCTACCAATGCCTTCAATAAATGTCCTGAAATAGTACTACACTGGGAAAGATCAAACCTATACTTAATTCAAATACCCACTCAAGTGTCATTTTTGGTACTGAGCACATCTTTTTTTTTTTTTTTTTGAGATGGAGTCTCACTCTGTCACCCAGGCTGGAGTGCAGTGGTGTGATCTCTGCTCACTGTAACCTCCGCTTTCCGAGTTCAAGCAATTCTCCTGCCTCAGCCTCCTGAGTGACTAGAATTATTGGCTTGTGCCAGCGTGCCCAGCTAACGTTTGTATTTTTAGTAGAGCCGGGGTTTTGCCATGTGGACCAGGCTGGTCTTGAACTCCCGACTTCAGGTGATCCACCTGCCTTGGCCTCCCAAAGTGCTGGGATTACGGGTGTACGGGCGTGAGCCACTATGCCCATCTGACACATCTATTTTTAAATACCATGGGAAGTTTAATCCTCCTTAGATAGAAATGAAACAAGTAAACTTTTAAAACAGGGTGTATCTTTTTCAGTAACAACACAATTCAAAGAGTGGCTATGCTAACTTCAGGAAAAAGCTAATTTCTATGCTCATGTGCAAATGTGAGCAACTTTCCAAATGAGAAATAGATATAAGACACAGCATTATTAAGTCAACTAGCTTAATATGCTGACATGGAAAGAGTCACTCGTACATGGCCCTACTGTATATTTATTAACTACGGTTACTAACACTCTAACTCCGACCGTTACCCTTTTTTCGTTATCCATTCCAAAATGCTTTTGTTGTTCTTTCTTCTCCTTTAATTTTTGCCAGTTCTAAAACAATACTTCCAAAGATACAGAATAATCTTACTTTAAGCCACAAAAGAAAATTCTGGAGGAAAAAAAGGGAATCTATTTTAGAGAATAAATTTTCTTTGGCTAGACTGTCTTTGTCCAACCCAAGCACAACTCAATGTAAACTTCAGATATATCCTTTAAACTTTTTATTATACAGACACAGAAAGACTATTCCAGCACGGCCCCTTCCCCGCACTCAGCCTGCTTCAATAATTAGCAACTCATGGCTAAGCTTGTTTTATCAATGAGCCCATCCTCACCCCCAACTCCAGTTTATTTTGAAGGAAATCCAAGATCTCATATAATTTCACCTGTACATATTAAAACAAATATTTGAAAGTTTCAACAAAACTAATCATTACAAGAGCCTCTCCTGTCAAGCACACATCCCTACTAAGAGTGCATATTCGTCTTACCTTTGCCTCATTAATGGAATGTTAATGCAATTAGCAGCAGCTACGGCAGCAAACGGAACGAAACGTCCTATCAGTGGTGAGACATGCTGCAGAGGAGAAAATTTCAAAAGCTTTATCTAATTTTTCCTGCGCTAGTGAATGGAAATAACTTATTTCTTCCTGAACGCTCTGAAAAAGGCAGAGTCCTATTTGCATAGAAACTCAGGCCAAGAATACTTTCAAAACTTGTCCTAGTAGAGTACCTGTCTATTTCCCACATGGGTGTATTGGGACCATGCAAGCTTCTAAGGCATTTTAGCTGAGTGTGGATGCAGGAGGATGCATGGGCTTTGGAGTGCCGAGAGAGAGAGATGCTCTTGCCTCCCTTCAGAGCTGTGGCCTGAAGCCCACTGCCCACTGCCACGCCTCTGGGGGGCTGTTACAATGTGTGAACATTCAGCACTTTGTACACAGAGCCAGGCGCAGACCACAGTCCTGGCAGGTGTTGCTCACCAGCTCTTCAACTCTTCCCAAACTTACTGGAAGATATAACTACAATATGCAGCTGAAGATAAGGAGTATAAAAGACAGCCATACAACTTGAACTATTTTAAGAAACAATAGAGGGATTTAGAGCCAGAGAGGTAATAACAAATGAAGCAGCTTTACTATGGAAATACAAGTCTGAGTACCTTGGTCAGTGCATTAAGTCCTAGAGCTGTTGCTACAGCGCTGGTTGTTGCAGAAACATAAGCTGTTCCCAACTCACTGAAAGAGAAAAGGATATTACGTAGATGACGAGGAGGCGCTGGGGCAACAGTATTTGGAGAAATAAAAGGGAAACAAAGGAGCGCGATTCAGAACGCGGAGTCTACAAAACAGTATTTGTTACCACTCTACAAACAGAGGAATCTGGAGAAAAAGCAAGCAGACAGTAAAAAATGGCATTCTTCACACGTCTCTTGACGATAACTCCAAAAAAGTGGACATGGATTCTTTAAAGTTAGTTGGTTAAAAAAATAAATAAATAACCATATTGCATTTGTGGGAAGGAGGGGAGCTGTATGCAGGAAGCTATGAATACAGGGGAATGCATATTGGGCTAAATATCTGGAGCATATTTGCTTAAAAAACACTTCTCAAAATATTAATATACACACTGAAAGCAAAAATGAAGTGCCGCCATTTAAAAAATGGTATCTTAACTACATAAAAATACCGTCTTATCATCTGAAAACTGTAATGCCCAAGCAATTCTTCTTTTAAAAGAAATTTGAATTGTGATAAACACCACTGGGCTGCAGATTTCAAGATCCTTTGTTCCATATGATAACAGCCGAAGAATATGGGTTGTCAAAAGCAATTTTAAGTGATAAAAAAGCACTTTTCTTTCAAGTGTAATACAATTATGCTAACTAACATTTTTGGTTAACTAAAACCTTGTTAGCCAATTTTTTTATTTTTTTATTTTTATTTTTTTTGAGACGGAGTTTTAGTCTTGTTACCCAGGCTGGAGTGCAATGGCGCGATCTCGGCTCACCGCAACCTCTGCCTCCTGGGCTCAGGCAATTCTCCTGCCTCAGCCTCCTAAGTAGCTGGGATTACAGGCACGCGCCACCACGCCCGGCTAGTTTTTTTGTATTTTTTTTTTAGTAGAGGCGGGGTTTCACCATGTTGACCAGGATGGTCTCGAGCTTTCGACCTCGTGATCCACCCGCCTCGGCCTCCCAAAGTGCTGGGATTACAGGCTTGAGCCACCGCGCCCGGCCTAGCCTATTTTTTTAAAAAACAGGTGACAAAAATTTAAACTCATTGTTTTCCTTTGGGCTCCACAGATGCGCTATTTTAAAAACAAATCAGACATAAAGGTCACACTGCCATGGTCTCCCCTTGATTTCTGCAGAGACCACACTATGTCTCCTCTGCTTTTCAAGTTGGTGTCTGTTGACTCAGGCAGTGTAGATGGGGGAACAGCCTGTCACTTATCAGAGGCCAGACCAATGTTGCCTGCTGTGTGTCCTACAGGGCCATGAGCTCCAGGGTGGGCAGGAGGTATCATCCTGCCGGCACCTCTAAATGCAATGAATAATGTCTGAGAAGACAGGCTGGAAGAAGACAGTTTTCCTGATAGAGCAAGAGAAAAAGAAACACTTAAAAAGCTACAAAAAAGATACTACGTGATATTTGGAACCATATAAACAATTTGCACGCATGTGCTTTTTTAAATAGAAGAGTATCATCACTTAATAAAATGAAGGATGGAGAACTGAAGAGAGCGGTCAAATCTCACAGCCTTACTTGACAGTGAGGGGAGCATCTCCACTTCTGTTGGTGTAATTGACAACGGCATTGAAGGACTGGTTAATCCACTGCCAGAACAGCACAGCCGGCGTCGTCCTAAAACAGAGCCACCCATCACATACCCACCATCACTGGGACCTAGCCGCTGCATGGACTAGAAAACGTGAACAGCAGTAACCAGACAGGAGCTGTACTGGGGAAGGGAGAAAGCTGGGACAAGGTCACAGGCGTAGGACCCGTGTGCTACGCAAGCTTTTATCATCTGGAGTCATCAGTTTCCTTGTTCCTTGGATATAGATAATGCCAAGCTCAGAAGGTTACTATGAGGGTGAAGTAAGGTAAAATTTATAGAGAGCCTGGCACAGAATAGACATTCAACAAATGCCAGATCCCTTCTCTTGGAAAAAAAAAGACACAATTTGTATCTTTTTAGCCAAGCAGTCCTGGGCCCTTCTAACAGCATGTGCAACGCTCTGTATCTATGCCTACAGATAGACCTTTAGTGTGCCTATATATACACTTATATCTATACCTATATCTGTATGAATGGAATCAAAGCAGAATTTGCCTGCAGACTCTCTTCATTTTCTTTCTCCAACTCATTCTCTTTTGGGGCTAAGATTTAGAAAAAAAAATTTGACCTCCTTCTGAAAAACAAAGAAGATGCTATTTAGCAGAGGGGAAAGGTTTAAAAAAAAAAAAAAAAAAAAGACTCCCAGAGTAGCAACATTTAAACACAACGGAATGAAAAGTGAAATGACTTTTTTTTTTCATCAGTATTGAAGGAGTTTCAACGTGATGTTTTGATTCATAAATACATTTTGGCACGACTCAATCAAGCTAATGACCATGTTTGTCACTTTATGTACTATCAAATAACATTTATTTCAACAAAATTATTTCCATATAAAAATGTACTTTGAGCTTCTGTAGTATTAAACAAACTGTTGCTACATATTCATAACTTACCTGTAAAAGGTCATCATACAACCTGTGATGGTCATGTTCATTGGAACCTGGGCTGACATTCTTCCTATCAAAATCATCTTCTCACCAGTGTCAGGATGAAAAGCTGAATCATAGATGTACTTTGCTCTCCACAATTCATTTTCTGTAAGACCAGGAGGAACAATTCCTTGCCTAAGAAAACAACAAATAATATGGCAATTGCTCATTTCAAGTATCTCCCCAGTGCCCTAGAGACAGGTGGCTACAGGTTTTAAAAGTTTATGCTCACCCGAAACACTTGTGCTTGGATGGAGTGACAAATCTGTTACATACGGTCAGTAAAAATTTCAAAATGTACAGGACAATAAGCACTTAAAATGAACATTTCAGGCCAGGTTCAGTGGCTCCTGCCTGTAATCCCAGCACTTTGGGAGGCTGAAGCAAGAGGATTTCTTGAGCCCAGGAGTTCAAAACCAGCTTGAGCAATATACGTCTGTGGTCCCAGCTACTTGGGAGGCTGAGGCAAGAGGATCACTTGAGCCTGGCAGGTTGAGGCTGCAGTGTGCAGTGATCATACCACTGCACTCCAGCCTGGACAGAGCAAGACCCTCTCTTAAAAAAAAAAAAATTCAAACCCATTCATCTCAAATTATCTGTAATTTTGAAAAGCCAGAAAAGAAATTGTATATAGGGAATAGGGAAGCTTCCAACTTTGAAATATTCTTTAAGTGACATATTTTATAATGTATTTTGAATTTGTAAACTCTAAAATATTTTAACCAACTAGACAAAAGTTATGGCAATTAAGAATATTAATTCATTTTTATACCTATAGAATGAAAAACTAGTTCAGAAAGAATTTTTGTTGTTGTTTTTTTTTTGTTAAGACAGGGTCTTACTCTGTCACCCAGGCCGGAGTGCAATGGTGTGAACTCAGCTCACCGCAGCCTTGAATTCCCAGGCTAAAGTGATCCTCCCACCTCAGTTTCCTGAGTAGCTGGGACTATAGGCATGCATCACCATGCCTGGCTAATTTTTTTTTTTTGCATTTTTGTAGACACAGGGTTTCCTTGGTTGCCTGGGCTGGTTTTGAACTCTTGGGCTCACGCAATCTGCCTGCCAGGGCCTCCAAAATGCTGGATTACAGGCGTAAGCCACCACGTCCAGCCTCAGGAAGACGCTTGATGAAAAAAAAAAAAAAGATAGGTACATCATTCTTGATTTCTTCCCTTTATCAAACAAACACATACTCATTATCAAAAATTTAGAAAATACAGGAATCCATTAGAGCAATTAAAATCACTCAAGCCTTTACCTACTCATCTCCACTGGTAATGTTTTCATGAGTATATTTTCAATCTCTCTTCTAGGATCTAAATATGATGTGTTTACTTAAAGACTTCACACCAGGCCTGCTGCTTTATAACCACCTTCTTTATTCAGTAATATACTGTAAACATTTCTCTGTGTCTTTAGATAGTCTTCTTGGGACTTCACGTTTGGATCTCCTTCCATGAACACTCCCTTCGTGGAAGCTGTTTTTCTCTATCCTGGATTTTCCCTCTGGAGTCCCCTTCCACAGTCTCTCGTGGAAGCCTGTCTTCCCCTCCTAAACTCCACCTCTCTCTATTCCCTTCCACTCAGTGTGGAAGCTGCTTTCCTCTCCTGTTTCCATCTTTCTGGATTCTCTCACTCAGTGTGAGAGTTACCTGTTTCTTTTTCTCTCCTCCTGTTTCTCTCTCTTTAAATAAATCACTTTCTACAAACAAACAAAGATAGTCTTCTATATAATCTATACTGGGTTGAACAGTGTCTCCTCCAAATTCATGTCCATCTGCAACCTCGGAATGCGACCCTATTTGGAAATGGGGTCTTTACTGATGCAATTAGTTAAGATGAAGTCATACTGGATTAGAGTGGTCCCTAAATTCCATGAATGGTGTCCTTATAGGGAGGCCATGTGCAATCACACAGAAGGCCAAGTGATGAAGGAGGCAGAGATGATAGTGATGTACCCACAAGCCAAGGAGCACCAAAAAATTCCTACAGCTTCTAGAACCTTGATAGCCCCAAGGAAGGATTCTCAGAGGGAGCATGGCCCTGCTGACACGTTGATATCAGACCTCAAGCGTTCATAACGTGAGGCTCAAGTTGGTGGCAATTTGTCACGGCAGCCTTAAGAAATGAATACACCATCTTTTAAAGTGCTTCATAGTATTCTACTATATGATTATAAAATATTGTAATATATACCAATTTCCTAGTGTTGGGCGTATTAATTGCTTCTAATTTTAAACCCTCATAAATAAATCTATCCCCACATACAAAATTATTCTGAAAGAAATGAGTAAATTTGTTGGAACAAAAGCTACGTAGAACGTTAAAACTTTAGATATGTCTTTTATCTTTTTTCTCTACTTGACTGTGTCTTTTTAAAAAACATCACCATCCACAGCAGCATCATTGTTATTTATGTAATTTGCATGCATACTTTATACACTGCAGATAACCCCAATTTTTATTTTTTGGCTGTGTTATCTGCTGTCCTGAAAATCATTATTTTTATGTAATCAGGTAGGAACAAATAAAGTTTCTATCAAGAACAATTACATAAATGTTCACTCATATTTCTAGCATTCTCAGAACAGTTGTTTCTTTTCGTCATTTAAGTTTTTAATGTATTTGGAATTCCCATAATATGAAATGTGGACTGAGCCTAGTGGCTCATGCCTGTAAAGCCAATACTTTGGGAGGTTGAGGCAGGTGGATCACCTGAGGTCAGGAGTCTGACACCAGCTTGGCCAACACGGTGAAACCCCATCTCTTCTAAAGAATATAAAAATTAGCTGGGTGTGGTGGTAGGATCCTGCAGTCCTGGCTACTTAGGAGGCTGAGGCAGGACAATCGCTTGAACCTGGGAGGCAGAGGTTGCAGTGAGCTAAGACAGCGCTGCTGCACTTCCGCCTGGGGAACAGGAATGAAACTCCATTTCAAAAAAAAAAAAAAAAAAAATGTGAAACTTGCTTAACTTTCTCTTTTGGCTGGCCTGCAGCAGTTAAGAGTTTGTGAATACTAGCCTTGATTTCTAGACTTTCTATTGTGTTTCCACTTATCTACACATTCTGCTGCCAATACCCACCATTTTAATTTGATAGTCAATTTTAATATTTGATAGAGCAATCGTCCCACACTCTCTTCTTCTTTTGCTATTTCTAAAATGCATTAGATATTAATTTATTCTCCCAGATAAACCTTAGAATGATTTTACCCATTTTATAGGTGATCACAATTGTATTTTGACTGAAACTGTATTAATCTGGGGAAAACTGATACCTCTGCAATCTCCAGCCTTTCCACCCTACTGCACATCTCTCCATTTACCCAAACTTATCATGACTCCAAGTGTTTTCATTATTGATGCAAATTTCTGGGTACGTTTCCTCCCAGGTCCTTTACATTTTTGAAAACTGTTCTTATGAAGAGAATAAAAAATACTGTCTAATTGCTTGTTGCTGGTATACAGAAAGAACTACGGTTGTTTTGTGTCTACTATAAGTAGTCTCATTGTATTTTTATTTGTTCTCTGGTTTTTCAGTTGATTACGGTCTCTCTCTCTCTCTCTTTTTTTTTTTGAGATGGAGTATGGCACTGTCACCCAGACTGGAGAGCAGTTGTGCAATCTTGGCTCACCGCAACCTCCGCCTCCCAGGTTTAAACGATTCTCCTGCCTCGACCTCCAGAGTAGCTGGGATTACAGGTGTGTGCCACCACGCCCAGCTAGCTTTTTAATTTTTAGTAGGGATGGGATTTCATCAAGTTGGCCAGGCTGGTGTCAAACTCCTAACCTCACGTGATCTGCCCACCTCGGCCTCCCAAACTGCTGGGATTACAGGCAAGAGCTACTGTGCCCGGCTGAGTATTCTCTTAGATATTACATACATTATGAAAAAAAAAAAAAAAAAAAAAAAAAAAGAAAGGGCTCATGTTCGAGTTTGGGAAAAATGATTAAGCAGCTTCATTTTTATTCCTGGACTTTTTGGAAACTTTGAACAGTTAATAGAATGTGACACTCTCGAGTGGAATGTGAACTTTCTCAAATTTGGTTACCAAAGGCCTCCTCCTTTCTCTCTCCCTCACTTGATCCCTCTCTCCCTTCCCCTGCTTCCCTCTTTTCTTTCTCTGAGTATTCCATTCCTTTCCTTTAGAGGTCCTTCTGGGAAGTTCAGCTCTAGTGTTCCATTATTTCATGCAGTGCTCACTACTGATATGAGATATGCATTCTTTTTTTTTTATTTTGAGATGGAGTTTCGCTCTTGTCACCCAGGCTGGAGTGCAACGGCGCGATCTCGGCTCACCACAGCCTCCGCCTCCTGGGTTCAAGCAATTCTCCTGCCTCAGCCTCCCGAGTAGCTGGGACTACAGGTGCGCGCCACCATGCCCAGCTAATTTTTTTTTTTTTTTTGTATTTTTAGTAGAGATGGGGTTTCACCTTGTTGACCAGGATGGTCTCGATCTCTTGACCTCGTGATCCATCCACCTCGGCCTCCCAAAGTGCTGGGATTACAGGCTTGAGCCACCGCGCCCGAACTGCATTCTTAATAATTAAAGAAGTACTACACATTATTCCTAGCTGATTAATTATTTTATGGGAAATAGATATATACCTTTACCTTCTTTTGGGTATCTATCAAGATGTGGCTTTTTTCCTCTGACATACTGATGTAATAAATTACATTAATAAATGTCCTAAATATAAATCACCTTTCATTCTTGGAATAAATTCTACCAGTTCATGTTTTAACACAAGGGTGGATGTTATGTGTTGGTGTTTTACTTTGGATTTTTGTATTATCCATTTGTAAGACAGGCCATTATTTTCTTTTTGTATATATATTTTTTATTATTTATTATATCAGGGTTGCAATGAATTGGGAAGCATTTCCTTTTTCCCCCTATGATCTCATAATATTTAAAAACTAAATCAGCTTTAATGAGGTATAATTTAAATACCATAAAAGTCATCTACTTTAAGTGCCCAATTTGACAAGTTTTGAAAAAATGTGCTCCGTGGTGTAACCACCCCAGAATTGTGGTATAGGGTATTTCCATGTCCCCAGCAGTTCCCTTGGGCCCCTCTGGAATTATTCCCTCATTTCCTGCCAACCAATGGATCTAATTTCTAACACTATATT